ATCATTAGAATGGGATGCTTTTATAGATGCCTAAGTCACCAATTGAACTAATTATATGGCTCTGCACTGCTGAACAATCAGATAAAAGCAGACTTGGTCATTCACTTATCAGGGAGAGATATTAATACTGACTAAAGCCTGAGTCTTAATTGCCCTTCTTGCACTGCATGTGATGCAAAACCGTGTAAAGTTTAGGAGTCAGTGGAAACAGTTATACAAACAAAAACTGACGTCCTCAGTATTTTTGCAACTGAATTATTTTATGCTAATATTTGTTAAGACTGTATTCTCCTCCATCTTATCACAGTTTATCCACAGTCTGCACACAAGAGGCATTAAATCAATGTTCAGCATGCAAAGGAATGGTTTATGTGAAATGTGGCCAATGTAAAAATTCTCTATGTCCCTCCTTATATCAGACAAAAAGTTAAACTATGTGCATGAAAACCCGTGTTGAAGGACAGAGGTAAAAGCAAAACAAAAGCGTTTTTATAAGAACATTTTTTTTCTGTTCTTTGTCAGGGTCATCAACTGTTGTATCTACCATAAACTCATTTCACACTTTGCAGGATGTTTTATATAAAAGGCTATGAAAAAGTTGTCCTACAGATTTTGTTTCAGTAAAAAATATAGAAGCTTGCTGTATCTCAGACTTCAACTTTCAAACAATGAAATTTAGCTAATTAAATGAACCATGAATGTTTTATGTTTAAGATGAGACTTCTTCATATTTGTTTGGCCAATGTACCCATTTAGTAATAGCAAATTGGTGTAAGGATATCTTCCTGCCATTTCTACAAAAAGCCAAGGTATGGAAGTCAACAATATACAGTACCTGTGTATCGTGTTCCAAATTCCCACAACCGTTTAGATATAGAAGTGCTTCCTGTTCTTGTTTTTAACTGTGTTTCCACATAGTTTCCACTTAGAAACTGAAGTCCCAAGAATCTTTCAATGTTACATTTGGCTTACAAGTGACCAGTTTCATTCACAATTCCTTTTCTAAAATAACAGAAACACACTTTCCCCCTCCTTACACTGAAAACTGTGTAAAAACAGGGATTCAAAAGTGCTGAGAGGGAGAAAATTTCTGAATCTTAACTCCTTTTTTCTGCTGGAGGACCATAATGTTTCTGCTCTGAACTTGTATAATTGCCAGACAGCAGTGCATTCTGAAGAGATTCTAAATGCATTAAATCTATGCCTGCTGCACAGTCACAGCTTTTGCAATCTTCATAGTATATGATGATATGCAGATGAATATTGCTCTTCACTACATAAAGCACTGAGCAGCACACAACCATTGTCGCACTTGGGAGCAGTGTGATTCTCTTTGCCATGCAAATGAGAGCTCAGCAACAAAATTCATAGAACAGGAGTACAAATTCTAGGCTGAGCTTGAAAGCTCATAGAATGAAATAAATGTGCTGTGAAGCATACAGCCATTTTAATAAGTACCCTGGAGATTTTGCCAAGCTACTGTTTTACTAGCAATTATTTTTTTAGTGTATTGTTCTTCGTATGAGTGGACTGAAACAGGTGAGGACAGTTGACACCCAAACACTATTGTTACTTTTTCTTTTAAAGACTCTGACCACAGAATCAGTTTTTATAGACGCTAATAATCAGATCCCCTCACTGAATGTTTTTTTTCGTAGCATTTAAACTTCCAGTTGCATAACGTTTTTGCAATTTTACCATATTTTCCAATTTTCCAATTCTCTTTTTCACACCCCTTCATAGAATTCTGACATTTGAGAGTTTTTAAATGCAAGGATGTAAAATAAGTGTCTTCAAAGAGTGCAGTCCAGCTTATTCTGTAGGTATTGTATGATAGTCTGGAGAAGCACCCAAATAATTTATTTTAGTAGAGTGGAGTAATCAATCAGTTCTGTTCTTTAGGACCAAGAACCACAGGCATGTTCTCTTGCCCTTAAAACCTTAAAAATTGCCTTAAAAGATGTCAATCTTAACTGTAGAACTAAGAAAAAAATATTTACCTACACACTTTGCTCTTAGAAATTAAATATTAGTGATGTATTTTTTCCCTTTTTCTCAAATACAAGGGAATATTTTGCAATGCATTAACGAACATCACCTTCTACTCATCATAGCTCAAGGTTATGTGTCCCAATACAAATCCTTACCAATACAAATAGAAAAAACATAAGTGTGCTGGGTTTTGAAAGAGCTCTTAAGCATTCAAGTAATTCTTATGCTTAGATACAAGAGTGTTGTTCCCTGTCCATTTTATGCCCATTTTTGGAAATTACTATATGCAGTTGCCTCAGCAGGAAGAAAAATGGAAATCCTTTTTTACGAATTGTTAAGCAGTCTCGTATAAACATTCTTCTGTCTTGCAAAACATTTGTTAAAAAAAGTTGAACAGCAGGGGTTGACTATGAAGAGACATTAAGTTATTAATGGTGGCTTTAGTGACCAATTCATACAGTAAGTATTATCATCAGTATTTGAAAAGCTTTAATTTAAGAGAATACCTTTGGTTATGTGAGAGTTTCTTTCCCACTCCCTGCCCTCAACACAGTAACCTGACCACAGTGTAAGCATGAGGCATGGGATTCTGTTTTTGTTGAATGGGTGTCTTTATGAATTAGCTGGTGTTTGATTATGGTAGCCTCTAGCTAAGCACAGTGAATATTATCTTAGAGGTGGAGCTTTATACTGAGTATAGAATATTAACACAGTGTCAGAGGCTATCTCTATAGGTTCATGTCACCATAGAACCTTACAACTATGACATTGTTAAATGACTACGGTAAATATCTTTTGCTTATCCTAGTCTTAAAAAGGTCTAGAACCTTTCTGTCCTTTTCAAACACAATCTTTTAATGCTCATAGACATTGGCTGAGGTTCAGTATCCAAAGACTGACATACAATATGAAAAGAACGCAAGGTTTCTTTAATGCAAGAATGTAACGTTTACATATCATTTGGCCCAAATATAGTAGCTGCTTTTATAGATCCTATTGATTCAAGAATCTAATCTTTCTATCTCTTGAAAAGAACAATGAAATTCACTTCAAAAACCTGTCTGGGTCGCTTGTTCAAAACTCACACATCCCTTTGTATAAAACGTTCCCTTGTTCTCTGGTTCTTCTTCTCAATTAGCTTCTATTTATCTTCTAGTGTTTCACTGTTAATTTTGAAGAAATCCATAGGGTTAGATATGTAAGCGCCTTTATGAATTTTGAATTCTTGAATTACAGTAGGTTCCCTTATAATATTCTTAGTTGAAGACTTAAAACCATTCCAAGTCTCCTTGCTACATGTTGTGACGAATGAAGAATGGAACAAAAATCATTCACTATCATGTGCTTTTATAGCTTTTACAACATTGTCTTGTTTTGGAAATGGCCACAGTTTCCATACATACTAAGTTAGCGTTTTTCTTGGTAATATACTACTGCCAATTGTTTTAGTAATTTATTTTGTAGTAAAATGTTCATAAGAATTTGAATTAAATGGAAACATTTGACATTTTCTTAATAGTTTTGCAGATGGAGGGGCAAGAAATTTTATATTTATACTTGTGACCAATTCCCTGAGCTAGACAGATGTGTGGGGTTTAAAGGAACTTTAAAAGAGTGTCAAAACAATGTGTGGATATAAAGAAAGACATCCACACTAATGTAAACACACATGTATTAGTTTATTTTTGTTTTAGGCAGAAAGGGTATTACAGTATATATTATGGACTTTTAAACAGGATCAGTCATAACAACCTCATTTTATGTTCTATGACTATTACTGTACATTCTAATTATCAGTTTTAATAATAATGCTTTTTAGAATACAAAGGCTTTACTGGTCATATACCAATACTTTTTGAAATAAATTTTAGGAAGCTGAAAATCAGTATGTGATATCTGTAAATGCACTCATTAGCTGACTAATTTTAATCTTGTCTCAGCTAATTCTTAGAGAACATAAATAGAATCGCTATTATTTAAGTTAACTTGTTTAGCTTTTAACTTGTTAGGATATAAAAGGTTTATATGACAAATCAGTTATCAGTTATCAGTTGTCAGTTATACAAAGTTGATTTCTGTTTACAAACATTAAATGTTTTAAAATTTTGATTGTTTTTTAATAATGAGATACTGTAATGAATTCTTGATGTCCTTGTGGTGTGAGTTGAAATGTGGAAAATAAAAAACAAACAAACCAAAGGCTTGTCCTTGGCTTCTAGTATTGTTTGTTGTAGAGTTTTATTTTAGCTGAGAATATAAAAAGTTTTTTGGGGGGGTTGAGCAAAGGGGAGTTGCAACATCATATTGAAGGCAGTTCTTCTCCAGTATGTTATTAGAAGTCGGCACAAATGTTAGTGACTTTGCCAGTCCATTATAGATCTAGCCAGTGGAAATATTTTGTCATCAGAATGTGACCACTGAGGGTTTCCACTATCTCTACAACATGACATTTACTGTATCTTGGCCTCCTTCAACTTGGAAGTGTGCATACTTGTGGGAACTTATTTTTAAGTCCTCTTTATCGGAAATCAAGAAAAAAATGTGCTTAACCATATAAAATAAAACCAGACAGAAAATTCTAATCACAACGGACAAGTTTCATCCTGTTTTATGAAGAAGTAAGGGATCCTTAAATCTTCATTGTGTAAATAAGAGTCCTAGCTATAAATTGCTCTAAAATACTGGGGTGTTTCTGTCTGTGACTCTTGTATTACTGGCAGTTGGTTTTAGACTTTTTCTTTTACAAAAAGCTACTTGTTTTTGTGAACAATTCAAATGAGAAACAGTGTTTACAAACAGTCTTCAGTGATTTTACTGGACCATGTTGCTTGGCAACTTTGCAATTTGAGATCCTGATCCATCTTATTGATCAAATGAATAATTAGCAGTCTTTCAGTTCCTGGGTTCAAATGTCAAGTTCTAAACTGTGGCATATCTTTACAATTTGAAACTCTGCCTTTGTTGGCTGGCCTCCCTGGTGACATCACTTTCCCTCTTCTTTGTTTCAGGATGGAAGAATGATGGGATGGCTGTAAATATGGGCCACTGGGCAGGCACACAGACCTTTCTTCTCTGCCTCGCCCTCCTATCCCTCCAGCTTTTCTCCTGCTGTTGCCAAAGCCTGCAGGATCCAGAAAATGTACCTCACTTCGTCTTCACACGTTCACTTTACAATGCTACAGTTTATGAGAACTCAGCTGCTAGAACCTATGCCAACAGTAAAGTTAAAATGGGGATTACTTTAGTGCATCGCTCATGGGATATAAAATACAGGATTATTTCTGGAGATGAAGAAGGGTTTTTCAAAGCAGAGGAGTTTGTTCTTGGAGATTTCTGCTTCTTACGGATTAGGACTAAAGGTGGGAATTCTGCCATTTTAAACCGTGAAATACAGGATAGTTACATGCTGACAGTGAAAGCCTCTGTCCGAGGGGAGGACTTGGAAACATGGACAAAGGTAAACATACAGGTTTTAGACATGAATGACCTTCGCCCTTTGTTTTCACCTACAACTTATTCTGTCACTATACCTGAGAGCACCCCACTAAGAACTAGCGTAGCACAAGTGACAGCCACAGATGCAGACATTGGCTCCAATGGAGAGTTTTATTATTTCTTCAAAGAGAAGGTTGACCTTTTTGCAGTTCATCCCACAAGTGGGGTGGTCTCTTTGAGTGGCAAGTTAAATATTGATGAGAAAAACAGATATGACCTGGAAATCTTGGCAGTTGACCGGGGAATGAAATTATATGGAAACAATGGAGTGAGCAGCACAGCAAAGCTCTTCATTCATATTGAACGTGTTAATGAACACGCACCAACTTTAAGTGTTGTCACACATATCCCTTCTCTACTGGACAAAGACCCCACGTATGCTGTAGTTTCTGTTGAAGACTTGGATGATGGAGCAAATGGAGAAATAGAATCAGTTTCCATTGTAGCTGGGGATCCTCTGGACCAGTTTCGTTTGGTGAGAGGAGCAGGAGTCAATGAATACAGAATAAAAGCTTCAGAACCAGTAGACTGGGATCATTTCCCTTACGGCTATAATTTAACACTGCAGGCAAAGGACAAAGGCTTTCCCCAGAAGTTTTCTGCTGTTAAGGTCGTCCACTTGTATGTCAATAGACCAAAGCCTGTTGAAATCAAGTTTGAAAAGGCAGTTTATGAAGTAAAGCTCAGTGAGATTTCACCTCCTGGGATTACTGTTGCAGTTGTTAAACTTTCCCCTGAACCTGAAGATGTGGAATACATTCTGAGCCCTGGTGAAGATTCTAAGTATTTCAAGATCAATTCCTTAACTGGATTAATAACAACAGCCCGTCCTGTTAGTAACCTAAATCAAGAGTTGTTTGAGCTTGAGGTGGTTGAGTTAGACAGTGAATTAAGAATAAGTGTGAGGGTTACTATTGAGGATTCTAATGACCACACACCTCTGTTTCTACAGCCCTCTTATGAGGTGTTTGTAAATGAAAGCATTCCAATTGGAACCCACATTTTAACTGTTTCTGCTTTGGATAACGATAGAGGAGAAAATGGGTATATAACTTACAGCATTGCCAGTCTCCAAACCTTGCCTTTTACAATCAACCAGTTCACTGGTGTTGTAAGCACAAACAAAGAGCTTGACTTTGAATCCTTATCTGAGAGCTTTGTGTTTGTTGTAAGGGCCTCTGATTGGGGTTCACCTTACCGCCGTGAAAGTGAGGTCAATGTCACTGTTCACATAGAAAATGTCAATGACAACCATCCCCTGTTTGAGAAAATAGCCTGTCAGGGTATAATTTCTTATGATTTCCCAATTGGGGAGGTGATCACTACTATGTCAGCCATAGACATTGACGAAATAGAGTTAGTAAAGTATAAGATCCTCTCAGGCAATGAACGAGGATTTTTTGATCTAAATCCTGATTCTGGTGTGCTGGTCTTAAAGAAATCTCTAATGACCGCCAATCCAAAAAACGGGGTCTTCAATTTAAAAATAACAGCAACAGATGGGGAAAACTTTTCGGACCCAATGTTTGTCAACATCTCCATTGTACACGGAAAAATGCCTTCTAAGAGCTTTACCTGCAAAGAAACCAGAGTTGCTCAGAAGTTAGCTGAAAAGTTACTCAAAAAGGCTAAAGCGAACAGCAAGACCAAGGCAGAAGATGAATTTCTAGATCTCTTTTCAGTCAACAGGCAGACTCCACAATTTGATAAATCTTTTCCTTCAGAGATATCTGTGCGAGAGGACCTTGAAATTGGAGCTAGTGTCTTTAGGGTCAAGGCTTATGACGGAGACACTGGCTTCAATGGCCAGGTTTTGTATACAATCTCCGATGGCAACAAAGACAGTTGTTTCAACATTGACATGGAAACTGGATTAATAACCATCTTGATGCCTATGGACCGCGAAAAAACAGATAGGTATCTCCTCAATATCACCATTTATGATTTAGGCTTGCCACAGAAATCAACGTGGCGGCTCTTGACTGTCAATGTGGAAGATGCTAATGACAACACCCCACAGTTTTTACAGGAGAGCTATAATGCCGTTATTCCCGAAAACACTGTAATTGGCACTGAGGTGATTCAGGTAGAAGCAACAGATAAAGACTTAGGGCCTAATGGGGCTATTTATTATACAATGTTGACAAGCACAACTCAGTTTGGGATTAACAGCACAAATGGAATTGTTTACGTTGCTGGCCAGCTTGACAGAGAATTTCTATCAGTTTTTAATTTAAAAATAGAGGCCCGTGATAAAGCAGAGAGAGGGAGTCAAAGGTTTGCAGTGTCAACACTCAGGATATCCCTGGATGATGTCAATGACTGCTCTCCAGCTTTTATTCCTAGCTATTACAATGCAAAAGTTCTTGAAGATTTGCCTGTTGGCACTGTTATAGCCTGGCTTGAGACACAGGATCCTGATCTTGGATTAGGTGGCCAGGTCAGATATTCCCTGGCAAATGACTACAATGGAAAATTTGAGATCGACAAAGCTAGTGGAGTGATTCGACTTGCCAAGGAGTTGGATTATGAGAAGCAGCAATTCTATAACTTGACAGTACGGGCCAAGGATAAAGGCCGCCCTGTGTCTCTTCTCTCTGTGTCTTTTGTGGACGTTGAAGTGGTGGATGTCAACGAGAATCTGTACCCGCCATATTTTTCTGATTTTGCTCTGATAGGCTCAGTTAAGGAAAACTCTCGGATTGGCACAAGTGTTCTCCAGGTCACTGCAAGAGATGATGATATGGGACGGGATGGAGAAATCCAATATTCCATACGAGATGGAAGTGGCCTGGGACGATTTTCTATTGATGAAGAAACAGGTATGTCCTCCTAGTAAAATCAAAAATAAGAAATCGTTTGGAGATATTAAATTACCCTTTCACGCATTCTTTTAAAATTAGCTGTGAAGTTGACGTTACTGTGAATTATTTGTGTGAGCTATTTAGGAAATAACTGGAACTTTGGTATCTAGGTTATGAAAATTAATAATACTTTTATATATCTTTCCTTTCCCAGCTCACAAATAGAAAATGTTACTGAATTTAATGTATACATTAATGTGCACTGGACAAATATGACAAATGAACTGTGTCTATTAAGTGTAGCACTGAGGCCAAAATATGGGGTAGTTGTTCATAAGGTGGTTTAAAACTCCCAATTTATAAGCTTAGTTATAGTAAGGGAAAGTTCGGGTGCCAGATAGAATTACCACATAGAGCTTTGTATTTACATTCGGTGCAGTTGTCATGTCACTCTTTTCCCTGACCCAAACATTTGGCCTTTGCTTCTTCTAGAAGCATTGTTTCCTCTTTTTAAAATGCCACAGAAATTTTGCCAGGAGACTTGATAGAGTTTTTGTTGTTTTCTAATGAAAAATATTCTTGGATTGTCTAATGTTGTCTGTTGAGTTGAGAAATTTCAGTCCTGGCTGTGGGACAAAAACGGCATAGATCTATATTTTACTGCTCATTTTGCCAGGATGTTTCCATGAGACAAAAATTACTACATACATTTTTTTTTCTGTTATAAAATATGATAACCTGATACAAATGGAAGTAACAGTTAAAATACATAATTCAAAGGAATGAATTGAAAACCTTTCTATGTAACATTACATTTAGTAAGGACAATAAGCATTTTCCTTGATAGAATGGTTATGTCCTTATTCTTTTCTGCCTAGTTAAATATACATGTGGAAAGGGGCAAATACAAAACTTTTACTTGCAATAATATCATTCCTCAAAAAATCTTCAAGACCTATTCAAACATTTTCATATTTTAATGAGTTTTCTGATGGACTTTCTGATGGAGACAGATGTATGTTAATTTTAATACTGCATAGTGCAATAGCATATGTCAGTAGTACTGTAGGTAATAAGTGTGCACTACAGGGTAATTCTGCTCCCAAGAATTGCTGAAAGTGTAGCTTATTCATGGAGGCTAGATCTGTATATTAAAGCAGGCATTTACTGAGGGGTCAGAAAAATTGGTTTCTTAGTTCAGTCAAATATTTATTGGGAATTACAGCAGACGCTATAAAAAGACAAATTTTCCTCCAAACTGTTTTGAATTTTAGCTACATTATAAAATACTATAAGCAAGATGGCAGATTTCATTATTGAAATGTGAAAGCCTAGAAGAGCTCTATCCAAAAAAACAAAACAAAAAAGGCACTACAGTTTTAAATGGTTTAGTGCCAATTGCAATGCCTGTGTGTCAAAACAAATATAAGCACTAGTGGGTGGAAGATTGTCAGTAATGCTTAGAATGGCCATGTGGAGAATAATATTTTTAACAGACACTAAAAAATGTATCCTGTGAAAATCATATTACAATATAAGAATTTTCCTCTATTAATGATGTAGACCTATTAGGTCTAGTAGTTGATCCCTTTGTTTCTTTGTATTACATTAGTCTTGTGTATTGACCTGTCTCCTAAAGAACACATTGTGCAACTTAAGTGTATTAAGCACTTGTGAAAGCGATACATTTAGTGCAGTATATATTGTCAAGTCTCAATAAAACATAAAAAAATAAACAACAGAATGTAAAGAACAGTGGATTGACCAGGGACACTTCTTTAAATAGTTTACTGGTGGTTGTCAATTATACAGTTTTGAGCTTAAATAAAAATGAGCACATGGAGTTATTATATTCCAACAAGAATGAATTTGAGCATGAAATCTAAGACGTATAACCGTTAAATAATATTTTGGGGGATAATTAATGCAGGTTGTTGACAGGTTAATGACTCAGGATGAAGGATTCAATCATTTGCTTCTTGAGGCCACAGCTTCCTTTATGTTTGCTGAAACACCTGTCCTGCTTCGATCTCATATAACAGACAAACCTTTTTATTTGGCTCAACCTAATAGCATGTTGTGCGTCAGTATAAAATGGGGAATGGCGGTGTTGTCCATTGTGGAATTTCCCATTCCAGTAGACTGTAAAAACGATACCAACAAGGTGACACCCGTCTGTAATCCATCTGTTTCCACAGGCCTTTTTAGCCATGTTTTATTCATTTTTAACCCTATTGCTGTCCCTCTATTAGCGAGAGCAAATGGAATAGATATTTTGAATTTATCCGTCTTTATCAGTTAGCTGCACAATTGCATGCACCATAAATCATACGAATGCACTAAATTTCTAGACACAGTTACAGCTTTAACTCTGCTCCTGCCGTGGCTAACTTTGACGTACGAAACTCAGAGCTGTTGATTTTACCTGACAAAAATGCATGGATAGTTGGGCTGAATTAAATGGAAGCCATATCTCAGCCTCTCCCTTATACAGCAGTCATATGCTTCAGTAGGTGCCACATTTCGCAATCTCTTTTTTTACACTTAAGTGCCTCATTTTTACCATGCTTGCATTTTGTTTCATTGCTGCTGTAAAGAATATTAATTTAACTGTCACTGACTGAATGTACTAATACAATTGGAAGGCTTTATTATTAAAGACCATATTAAGACAAAATCAGCTATCTTCAAGGTGTGATGTAGGTCTCTTAGTTGAAAACAGTAGGCACAGCAAAAATAATTTCCGGAAATTATTTTTCAGGACAGATGTCACATTCTGCACATCACTTGTTTCTTTCATTAGTGTTTCGGCAAAGCTGGCACAGATTGGTTTTATTAATAGAAGACTGTGGTGGCATAGTGAGCTCTGTGTATTCTGTGCTTGTATACTTTGTGTACTTTATGCTTTTCCTGGGGTGATTTTTTTCATTACTTTTGTTCTTGAGAAACTGGGAGGTCAGTATGATGAGTAGAATGACTGACCCCCCTTTTAGTGACAATTACTCTCGTGTCCAGAGGAATGAATCCTTTTAACTGTAGTTTTTTGTTGCCTTTAAAGTTACATAAAAGCGGCATTTTAGTTGAAGCCCCTTTTCAAACACCTAATGAATTGAATGGCTTGTTAATGTGCTCCCCCCCCTCCTTTTACTAATAACTCAGGAAGTACATAAATTGTGATGCTCCATCACAGTGTCGGTTTCCTTGGGAAACAATTTGAGATAACGCAGCAAAAGTGTGAACTTGAATGCTTTTAAGATAAATGTTCACATTTCTTCTCTGGTATAATTTATGTGGCACATTGCCAGATCTTTTTGGAAGAATATCTCAGATCTTGCTAAAACCCCTGACCAATATTAAAAATGAACAAAAAAAATCACATACTGTGACTGTGGTTCATATATTTTTATATATACATTCTAAAACGGAAACATGTTGGTAGTTTGGATTTTGGTATAAAAATTAAAGGTGGAACACACAATGGTACAGAGAAAAAAGATTCTTATAAAAATAAAATTGATTCCTTTGGTGTTAATTAATGCACTGTTCATTCACTGAGAAGTACAGCTTGGTCATGTGATTATTCAACCAAGCATCTTAGTTGTACAGAATCCAACACTGAGGGATGAAATATTCTCTTGTTTGACTTAGCATGTACACCTTCAATGAACTTTACAATTGTAAGACTAAACATAGAAATGAGTTCAGTGTTAGCATACAGTAATTATACTAGAAAAACAGAAGAGGATTAGGGGATTGAAGAATCGCTTACAGCACTCTGGGGTTCAATGTATCTGTGAAGCGAAAGAAAAATACTTTGGAAATGTTTACAATGGTAGGCATTACCAAAAGACTTGTTTAAGTGTATCAGTATACAGACTTGACTGATGAATGTTTAGCTTGGTGCATAAAACAGGCAACAAGGCAGTGTTTACCTATAGTAAAAATGAGTATATTACTTTCATAAACTGTAGTGTGTAGGACATTTTAGAAAGTCTCTCTGAATAGCCTTTTGTCTTGAAAAGTGTTAATATGCATTCCCCTTGATACTCATTGTAGAATATATCCAATCATAAACTGCTCTGTTTCTCTGTACTTCCCTTTTATCCTTTTTTGATTTCCATAGCCACATCCCTATTTAGTTTGAGATTTTCCTAATTAGTGGCGCAGCTGTGTAAATTTCATTGAAGTGTTGCATAAAGAAGTTGTTAAAGATTAAGGTATGTTTTTCAGAGCAATTTTGGATTTTTTTTTCCACATTATTTATTATTTCCTTATCGTCTCTGCAAATTTTAGCACCCTATTCACAACAGAACAACATTCCATGTGAAGGAGGTGCCTTTATTAATATAAGGTACTGTAAGTGAATACTATGATATGGATGTTTTGAGGGTTCTGAACCCAGGAGGACAGATTAGCCCTGCTGAACTGCTTAAGTCTTTAATTTACTAAAGAATTGAAATAATACTGAAGAATAAATCCTAAAGAATTAAATTAATGTTGCTAGTGCATGGTCTGTATTGGCAAATGTCATTTTCCCTCTACAGTAATATGCAGCCCAGTTGAACATAGAGCTCGTGTTGGTTTCTCACTCAAAATGGACAGTTAAGCATGAGGTACAGTACTATACTTAGGATCTCCATGGAGGTTGGTGCACCAGTAGGTGGCATTTCTCCCTTTGAACCTTTTAATATCCCAAGGGACTGTTCATAAGAGTAGGAGGTGTAAGTGCCTTGGCTTAATTCCATTCTGACCTTGCACAGTCTGGACTCTGTTAAGACATTTCCCTTTTAAATTTGATTGGGGAAGCAGCGTCTCACTCCTCTGCTGCCTGCTGTGTTGTGTATGTGCGTACTGATCATCATCCAGATGAGTGCTGCACTTCAGTGGTGGATGAACTGGGTCCCTTCCTATGTGTGAAGTGCAGTGGAATCCTGTGGGATGGAAAGTACTTTACAAACGCAAGGAAATATTATTTTGTCATTCTTTATGTTGTCGTCTGCCATTATGTGTTCTGCCAT